TTTGTACTGATTCCTGGAACATATTGACTGTTTCCTGTAAGTCTGGATCAATTAATCAAGTTTTGTAATGGACTTGTTAAGAGTGATGATATTGCTGATATAGTTGTATCGGCTGCAAACCGTTTTGAGTGCAGGATTTCAGAAAACAAGGTACATAAATAAACATGACTTTATGGTCTTAAGAATATCTGTCATAAGACACTGCTGTAGAATTTAAGAATCAACAGATCACGTTGAAATTTGGAGGTTTATTTAAACTGAAAATGGTACAACGGCCAAATTAAGAGCTGGTGCTTCTGATTAAGATTGTTCTGCAAGAGACCCAGCATTGATGTTTATGGGGTATTTAAAGGGACTTGGGTGTTCCAAACAGAACAGACCATGCAGAAAGTGGAAGTTCCTACCTTTAAGGTGGGGCTTCTGAAAGATGTGACCCACTCTGCTTTTAGGTTTTGCAGAGCAAGCCTTGTAGCCGACCAGAGTGGCTGGGGAGGCCCGGCCAGATGGGCGGGGTACAAATAATAAATTGTTAAATTATTATTATTCTATTGCCTCACCACAATATTAGGGAATATTAGGTTGAATATATATATGTTTAAATAAACAATTGACCAGTTTATCTCCTAATGGTGCTTCCCCAAAAGTTCTTCCTTGTGACCCTTCTGGAGTTAAAAAAAATATAGCCCTTGACTGTGTGAAAATTATTTGATAACTCATAAAATCAGCCTTTGGCAATCCACAATGTGTACAGTTTTTTAAGTCCGTACACTCCTATGTCTATGATTAAATCACAATGATGTGCCTTCATACGACATAAAAATAGTATTATGGATTCATTTTAACGTGTCAAATACAGAACTCCAATTCACACTACAATTGTTTACCACTCATAATGGCATATTAATAATAATCTTTATTGTGGTCCAACGACCCATAACATGGATTCAGAATAAAATACAGATTCATACAGACAAGCCCTCAGGGAAGGGAGACCGAAGCGTTATTTGTTTAGTCATGGGTATGTTGATCTTTAATCTGTATGACAACTGAAAGAAACTTTGCCACGGCCACTGTGATATCATTGGACTTGTCGTCCAGAAGGTATTTGGTATAGTAGATTGACCCGGCCGATTTGCCAATAGTGGTTTAATCAATAGTTCCCTAGGTTGGTCATATTGTCCGCAATGCAGTAAAATATGCCTCATGCAGTCGACGTCCTGAGAGCATACACAGATCCTATTTTCATAAGGGATACCTCTCAGTCTGCATAATGGCATATTTTGCCATCTTAAGCATGCCAGGTCTTCAAATTAAATACAGTATATGATATGGACAGTAACAGATGTGTCACCCAGAGAAAAGGACTAATGAGTTGGTGGCATTGACTTGTGGCTCAGTTGCTGCCCTTATGCTTATCTAAATATTTTCTGAAAATGTCACTTTAGGGCTTTTTTTTTCTTTCTGTTTGCAAGCTTGCTCAATTTTATTCTTTCTAGCAACTTGCAACATTGAGCAATTAGACAAGAGGATTAGATTCATTTTCCTCGAGCTGTCAGACAAATCCCACGGCTAAAATACAACCAGCATAATGATTCATCTTTGATCTGCATATAGCTTAATGTAGCACTTTAAAAAAAAAACAACCAAATAATAAAGGTAACTCTTAGTAATGTATCCTATATGTGATGCTTCCTAATTTAGACATTATTTCTGTCTAATTCACCACTAAAAATCCAAGCTGTAATCTCCTTATAAAATAAAAAGCTGAAATGTGGCAGACAAAAGCAATTCTTCCAACGTTCTTTCCTGCGCCATAAAATAACATTCCATAATTGCAACAAAATTATACCAGACAGAGGTCCATCCCAAATAAGTCATGGATGGCACTTGAAACAAGTACTCCTGAAATTAATCCAGGTGTAGGACTAAAGGAAACTGAAGTACATTGAACCAAGAGAATAGTTTTCCTAATGAACATACTGAGAGCAGCTCCAGACATGGTTTCAGACAAGTGGGTACAAGAGATACCAATATATCCAGCCCGTAGTCACAGTGGCGTAGCGTGGGTTGTCAGCACCCGGGGCAAGGCAAGTAATTTGCACCCCCTAACCCGTGGATTTGCGCCCCCTAACCCTAACCCCCAGATGCTGCGCCCTGTGCGGCTGGCCCCCCCTGACCCCCCCCCCCCGCTACGCCACTGCGTAGTCAGGAAGGGCCCCTAAATCTGAACTTATTGATCTACTTGCACTTTGATGTGCTTTCGAACTGCTAGGTTGGCAGGAGCAGGGACCGAGCAACAGGAGCTCACCCCGTCGCGGGGATTCGAACCGCCGACCTTCTGATCGGCAAGCCCTAGGCTGTGTGGTTTAACCCACAGCGCCACCCGCATCCCTAGCTCATTATTTAGGAAGGCCTTAATTGAGTGGGACATGGTTTCATGTCAAAGCGAAGTTATGCCTTTACCCGACAAACCGTTTTGAGTTGGAAATCTAATCTGGCCTGGTTGCATGCAAAATCACCACCAACTGATGCAGATGAAGGAAAAGTGAATCTGAGAAGGAGCAAGTGAGTTATCTGTTCTCTCTCACATTTAACTGCCTCTGCACGATTCATTAATTCCAAAAGCTGCTTTTGGCCTCCCTTTGCAATGTTCCCCTTATATAAAGTGAACACAGCAGAGTTTTATATATATATAAGAGAAATAGTACTGTTTTTTTAAAAAGGGCAACTAGAACAGCATGCAGACAAGGCAAAAAGACAGCTCTGTGGAGCACTCTCTGTGGAAGCTAAACATCAATGAGCTTAAGAGAGAGAAATAACTTAATTGACAGAAGGAATTTCCCTTTTACTGCAGACACGACAGTAATTCAATAGCCATGTTCTCCCTGCTTTCTTGGAAAATGTTCACAAAAGCTTATAGGAAAAAAAATATTCATATATTCTTCAAAATATTCTGTTTTTTTATTTTTTTGCTCACTTGTGATGTTGGGCAGATATTTATCTCTTACAGAAGGATAGAAAGAAGCTAAAGAAAATACACGAGTAACGAGTACCTAAAAAGCAACGTGGCAATAATTATGTTTGTTTATTTTTGTATCCTTAGGGAAAATGGGGAAGGGTTTCTTAGACTCTAAGGAAAGCGCTCCTCATTTCTAGACATCTGAATTTTCGTCTTCCCAGCACAACACATTTTTTATCTATGTGCAGCAGGTGGGCATGTTAGTGTATTTCAATCCACCCACATGGGAAGCTTAACAGAAATAGCATCAAAGTAGAAGAACATACAGTACTTATAATACCACTCACATACTGCAAGCTAACTGCAGACATAACTCAAAATGAAGGAGAAATTATTTCTTTTTTTTAAGGGTAGTCATTTGGGGAACAATCCTTCATTGACAAAGAGAAATTGGATTACTTTGTCCATTCTGACTCTAACATCTAAGAAATCACTGTATGCTTGTTTGCCATTTTTGCCATATTATGCAACCATTTTCCTGATTAATGCTTTCCATCAGGAGGGAGATTTTGCCACAGAGGCACTCCCACTGCCAAGGAGCCCAGCGCAATCTGGGTGGCATCTGCTACAAACGCTGCTGCTCTGGAAAGTTTAAGAAGTGCTTTGCGGGCCTCATTTGGGCCCTGCTGTGGGGTGCGCTCAGGAGACCCTTGTCCCATGTGGCGGATGCTCTCAAAAATCCAGAAGCAGTGTGAGCCCGCACAGATGGCAAGATGGCAAGTGCATTGGCAACATGAGACCATCTTGGGGCAAAGTCCAGCAGCCATCCTTCCATCTTGCCTTTTGTTTGGCCTTGTCGGCTACCAGAGGCTTCAGACACCTACCGGCCCAAAGACACCATCAAATTCATGAGCAGCTAGATGTGGTGGTGGATGGAGGGTGAACATCCATGTACCGGGGAAGGACATGGTGGACAAAGAGGAACACGTTTTGGCGAGGCCATCTGGGTGTGGCCTACAAGCTCTGTCTGGGTGTGAGGACCCAAGTATTAGCTAACAACAACAACAACAACAATTTATTTGTACCCCGCCCATCTGGCTGGGTTTCCCCAGCCACTCTGGGCGGCTTCCAACAAAGATTAGAAATACATTAAAATGTCACACATTAAAAGCTTCCCTGAACAGGGCTGCCTTCAGATGTCTTCTAAATGTTAGGTAGTTGTTTATCTCTTTGACATCTGATGGGAGGGCGTTCCACAGGGTGGGTGCCACTACCGAGAAGGCCCTCTGCCTGGTTCCCTGTAGCTTTGCTTCTCGCAACGAGGGAACCGCCAGAAGGCCCTCGGCGCTGGACCTCAGCGTCCAGGCAGAACGATGGGGGTGGAGATGCTCCTTCAGGTATACTGGGCTGAGGCAGTTTAGGGCTTTAAAGGTTAACACAAACACTTTGAATTGTACTCAGAAACATATGTGAGATTGTAGTCTCTGGCAGAGCGTGAGCAGGGGGAGGCTGCAGGTAGACCAAATGCAATACCTTCCACTGAAGGCAGACCGTCGGGCAACAAAAAGAAAGAGGGGGGCTTTTTGTTTTTGTTTTAGAAGAAAGGTAGGTAGGTGGGAAGGCAGGAAGGGTGATTGAAGGCTGCCACTCCAAGGGCAAGGTTTCAGATGAAGGGGGAAACAGAGGAAGATGACAGAAGGAGGTGAATAAGGCCAGAAATTAGAAGAGGAAAAACAAATTTAAAGCCCGAAAGAGAAGGAAAGCGAAGCCAAGAGCAAGAAAACTGATTGGGAGCCGCCCATTTCCTGAATCATTTCCCCCCCCTGTTTTGTCATCAGGGTGGAGCCAGAGCCCAACTCAGCGACTCCATGACATACAAATTGGTCCAACCAAAGACAGACCACAATCCAATGTTGCTTATTTCAAACGGACGGACCAGCAAACACACTCAGAGAACTCCCCCTCTGAGCTATACTTGTGTGGCACTGTTTTCCGGTGAGGAAGCCGAGACAGGTCTCATTGACAAAAATGAATTGGAAAATAAATTAAAGTGATCTGGATCTATTTACTTCTGGAATCAGAAGAATTCCCCTTCTCTCACCAGTATTTGTGGGATAAGCAGCCTCATAACCAACATGCTTACATAAGCTGTCCTGCCAGGCTTAGCTCACCTTGAGAGACTAGATAAACAAGCCTTTGTCCGCCCCGCCCCCTGAAAAGCTCAGCATGTGTTCCAGCTTAGCCGCATGGCTCTAACAAACCTCCCTTGAGTTCCTATACCAATAATTTAGGAACTTTCCCCACTTTGTAAGTAAGCCACGTTTTACAGCCTGTGCAACTTTCTGAGTGCTGTTGCTGTACGGAAAAGCACATGAATCTGACCTTTGGAGAGTTTTAGACAATTTTAAGCTTACCAAATGTGTTGTCCTTTAGAACACACAAGGGCATATTCTAAAGGTCTGTATTCCCCCACTTTGCTTGTGTCCTCACCATGGAGTACTTGCCCCAAACCTGGATCCTGGCATTCAGGAATTCTTTCTTTATATACCTATTTTATCCTTCCACCAACAGAAGTAGTCTTCATTAAACAGCATTTAGCCAGCATGAATGGCAACTGCAACATCTGAAAAAGAACCACCACTCACTCCTTCTGACTTCCAAGGATATGGGCCAATGGAAGACCCAATGCCAGAGCCAGACATTTGCCTTCACCGTCTTCTCACATCAGCTGTGGAGGCCCAACTCAGCGACTCCATGACATGATGTAAGTAGGAAATGAGCCAAATCAGTAGGGGCTTTGGAAAGGACACCATCAGCCATGTTTTTATTGGCAGCACCTCCCAATAAAGCTACATGACAGCCGCCAATTTACAAATCAGGAGGCATCTAATCGTTTGGGTGGTAACACTTTTTATCGTCCCCCTTCTGTCATGGCAACCACGACCTACACATACAGAATTTCCCAGTCGCTTTCTCCCATGGCTAGGGGGTGCAGAGGCGTCTTCGCCTGCCAATTTCTTTCCCCGTGCTGAATTACAGTACAGCTCAACAAGCAGACCGCATGGTGTTGATAGTCCACGTTTGTCAGAAATTAATCCTAAGTAAAAGCAGTGACAAAAAAGGCTGGGTTCTTAATTAAGTGTGCACACTCAGAATGTAAGCAACAGGCTTAATTAAAAGAAGATCAATGAGCGACTGTGCTCAAAGAAAATAATATATTAGGATGCACAAATAACAAGCGGAGCAAGCATTAATATTTTAATTTGAAAAATTGCATGCTTGTTACTACGTTGCCGGCACACTCTGTACACACAACTAATGAATAGCCCAGGCAAAAAAATGGCACTTTTGTGCGCATTCTGATAACACAAAGAGCCACATTGTTTAGGAACATAGAAAGCTGCCTTATGCTGAGTCAGGCCATAGGCCCATCTAGTCTAGTTCTGTCAACACTGACAGGCAGCAGCTACACAGGATTTCCCAGATAATTTTGAACTCTGATAATTTTGCCTAAGTGTAATTTTAAAAAAAGGGAAAAAAAAGAATGTATTTCAAAATGTTAGTTTATTTCAATATGCACAATAAAGAATGGTGGGAGGGTTTTGTTTTTTGTTTTGCAAGGAATTGGCTATATTTATGGAGGATGGGTCTATCAATTGCTGTGATTGCCAAACAGAGCTTACATGTACAAGGACTGTACAACTGACTACTAGCTGTTGGGAAATTTTGAAGGTTGCCAACACCATGCCTTGCTTATAAGCATCTTTGAGGCACTTTGCTCATGGGGAAGAGAAGCCTGGACGGACTGGTGTTACCTATAAATTCTCGTGTAAATCTATCACAGATTTAATTTGTGAGAAAGTGTGTGTGTGTGTGTGTGTGTGTGTGTGTGTGTGTGTTATCAAAGCAGGCTGCAAGGCAAAAAATAATATATGGTAATTTACAACAAACATAATTTCCTCCAGGCTACAACTTGACTTTGAAGCAATTAGCTCAGGCTAATCTTGAAAATCAGATTAGGCACACCAACTTGATTGATGATGGTGACATATTAGCACCTCGCTTCCTAGACATTTTCTTCGCATTATTTGTGTTCTCACTGACTGTGCTTTCAATAGGCATTTCCTTGCTTTCCAAACCCTTGGCAAAAAGCAACACCGTTTTCTACAGACCTGTAAGTAGAAACCTACTGGAGGCTACATAATGAAGCACATCTACCTATTGAACGCAAACTCTTACAGCTTTTACAGCCACTATTATGTCCTTAAGCCACATTATTCCCTTAAGCCTCCATTGAGATCACAGCACCAATAAAATGGGTTGAGGAGAGGGAAAGCTTAAGAAAATGCATCCCTCCATTTTTGAGAATGAGCTGCTATGAATTTCTACCATTCTAACCCTACAGGGACAAAAAATCCATGTTGCCTTTTTTCTATAGGTTATCATATTGAAATAGTTAAGAGACCGTATACAAGAGGTCCTAGGTCCCCAAGTGTTCACTATGGTCAGTTCCTCAGCTACTCCACTGAATCCAGACTTCTATTAAAATATCTCCTGACACCATTTACGGATTCTCCCTGTATATTCTTACGCAGGTACATCTACCCACCAGACATGCAGGGTTAGATACATAAACTTGAGAATACGCTCAGACCAGAACAAGAGAAGCACAATGCAAACATATACAGGCTTAAGGGGGGAAAGCAGCCAGAACAAGGAGCCATTTAATGCAGAAGGCTCCTATCCTATCTTAACATACCTGACCTTTTCTCCTTAACTCTTTCCCATATCTATTTCTCTCATCTCGCTCCCTCTGTCTCTGCCACTCTCTGCCAGCTGACACAGTCACAGTGTTCAGGTTGTTCCAGCGTGAAACTTCTTCAAAAACTAATCACTAGCGGTTGATTAATTTGATTGCATTTTATCCAACTCTTCCTCTAAAGGACTCAGTGTGGTTTACATGGCATGCTTCTAAATCACCAGGGTAGGTTAGGGAGTATATTGTATTTAATTATGGGGTATCAGAGTTTTTAGGGGGCTAACCAGGCTGGGATAGCAGACTTGTTGGTTTTTGAATGTCTGGTGTAGATTTTTTTCAATTTCGTTGTTCTGTATGGGACAATGACAATAAAGATTATCGTATCATATCGTAACAAGTGGCCTAAGCTTTCCGGCACGGTGGGGATTTGACGGTGCAGTCCCTTACCACTCTGAGTGCAGCAACACGCACAGGAAAACATGGCAATCATGCAAAACTGCAAACCCTCCTACCACAACAGAACCTGTTCAACTTCAGGGGTAGGATTCAGATTTTAGCAGGTAATGCTCGAGGCACTATGAAAACTCTGCTAGTTTGGATGCACTTGCTCTATTCTAACCAAGTCAGGCTTTTCGTTTTCTGCATTTGTTTAGAATTTTTTACTGCTTCGTGTCTCTGTGTCTGAATGGCTACTGGCACATGACCACGAGTCTCTCGCAACAGAAAGGCAGTTAATACATTTTAAAAATAAAAGCATAGGATTTAGAGCAGTGTTTCCCAACCGGTGTTCCGCGGCACACTAGTGTGCCGCGAGACGTTGCCTGGTGTGCCGTGGGAGGGAGGCGGGCGAGTCGGGCGGCGAGAGGCGGGGCGGCGGCGGCGAGGAGAGGCCGCCCAGCGCGGGGCTCTCGCCGTCTGCCTGCCTGGCTGCCTGCGTGGCGCTGACGTCACGGGGCTGTAACGTGCCCCACATAGGCACACGCGGGGCGGCGAGCGAGCTCCCTCCCACATCCCATCGCCGGCTCTGCACCAGGCGGTAGAGCTCGGCGAAGTCGCCGCGCTGGAAGGCCAGCAGCGCGCGCGCCTTGGCCAGGCTCTCGCCCGCCTACGCCTCCAGGCACGGCGCCTCGGCGTCGGGCGGCAGCGAGCCCAGGAAGCGGCCCAGCCGGCCGGGGTCGCCCGCCTGCAGCAGCGCCTCGCACCCGCACGAGACCTGCTCCGCCGAGAAGCGCGGCGAGCGCGGAGGATCGGGCGCGGCGGAGGCCAGCCCCGCGCTTGGAGAGGACGCAGCAGCCGTCGCCAAACCCGATCCTCCACCTCCTGCTCCGCCGCCGTCCTCTGGCTCTCGGCCGGGAGGAGCCTGCGGCGACGGGGCGGGCGCCGAAGTTGGCAGAAGTTGGCGCGCCTCCTCGGCAGTGCCTTCGTCCTCCTCCTGCTGCCTCTGCTCTCCTCCGGCGGCGGGGGTGCGCCGCCCTCCCCGGCCGGGGGGCTCGGCGGGGCCCGCGGGGAAGGAGGCCATGTTCGCGGCGCACGGGATCGCGGCCCCCCTCGCCCGCCTCCGGCCCGCTCCCCTCCCCCTGCGCGCTGCCCTAGCCGTGCGGGTCTCCTCCCCCTGCGCCGCCGTCCCCTTTCCACATCCTAGGAGCCGCAGTCCGCCTACCGCCCCCGGGCCGCGGCACGGCTCCCAGCCCGGGCTGGCCTCCGCCTCCTGGGACGCGCGCCCACCCCCGCGGCCCCCCAAACTTCGGAGCAACTCTCCAGACGCTTCTCCCCCGCCTCGGTCTCCCTCCTTTCCACTTCTCTTCCCCCCTTCCTTCCCTCTTTCTTTCTCTTTCTCTCCCACCCGCCTTTCCTTCTATTAACTTTCCTTTCCCCTCTCTTCGTCCTTCCTACTTTAATTTAGAGGGAACTGGCTTGTCAGTGACTGTGTAGTACAACCAGTAAGGATGGGGGGCATGCACAAGCATTTTTTCACGCAACCCAAGGTGCTTCTACATATGTGTCCCTGTACAAGCCCAGTTTCCTGGATTTCGAAGGCTGTTACTGTCACATCCTGCAAAAATATCACCAACACAAAGCAAAACGGAAGGTTGCATTCAATGCAGCACTAAGAAACGTCCCACCAGCTCAAGGATTTCTCCGCACACAACAAAATGTCCTCTCCCTCTCTGCACCGTCCCCCACCATACAGTCGTACCTTGGACCCCAAACGCCTTGTGACTTGAACATTTTGGCTCCTGAACACCGCAAAGTGAGTGTTCCAGTTTGCGAATGTTCTTTGAAAGCCGAACGTCCGATGCGGTTTCAGACTGAGTGCAGGAAGCCAATTGGAGCCAATTGGAACCGTGCCTTGGTTGTTGAACGTTTTTGGAAGTCGAATGGGCTCCTGGAACGGATTCCATTCGACAACAAAGGTACGAGTGTATATTTCAGGTTTTTGTCCAACCGTCTAGAGCAGATGGGGAGGGGGTGCAGGGTGCATATTGGGAGAGAATTGATGGATGGGGGAGTCATGTTACACTAGCACTGATGTTATAGGCGTTAATTCCCTCCCAGTGGCACATTGGAACATTGTAGGAACACGGGATAGATCATGGGTAGGCAAACTAAGGCCCGGGGCCCGGATCCGGCCCAATCGCCTTCTAAATCCGGTCCACGGACAGTCCGGGAATCAGTGTGTTTTTACATGAGTAGAATGCATCCTTTTATTTAAAATGCATCTCTGGGTTATTTGTGGGGCATAGGAATTCGTTCACCCCCCCCCCATAAAAATATATATATAGTCCGGGCCCCCCACAAGGTCTGAGGGACAGTGGACCGGTCCCCTGCTGAAAAAGTTTGCTGACCCCTGGGATAGATGTGTTAGTGTTCCTAGTCTGAAGATGAGTTTAAAGTGTATGGTGTTTTCCCTACCAAAGTTATCAGGATTTCCCACCCCAAATCCCTCAAAGTCATCTTTCAGTGATGGGCGTTTGGCAGCTTAGAGTCACAACAGCTTTGAAGGCTTCATACTTCATCAAAGCTAGCCCTGAAGAACAGGGCCTTCAGAACAACTGATGTGAAACAAAAGCAGCAGCAGCAGCTCCACATTCCTGTCAGTGTTTTTTTACAATTTGTTTTTATTCTGAAACCACTTGCCTCTTTTGAAAGCACGCTTCTTTCTGAATCACCCTCAACATGGCTCTGAAGACTGAATGACACATGCAATACAAAACTCCACAGGCCCTGAGGCCTTCTTAGCATTTAGGGCTGCCATGCCTGCTTTGACAATTCACTGACAAAATCATCTTGGCTTGTCCTTAGAAATATTTTGTATTACAGAAACTGAAGGCTGTTTATTTATTTGCAGGAAACTAGTTTTGTACTATTCTAATTTTTCAGGTTTAAAACACTGTTCGCCAACGTGGCATCCTCCAAATCATAGAATCATCAAATTGTAGAGTTGGAAGGGAACCTGTGGATCATCTAGTCCAGGGGTGGGCAAGGTTTACCTCGCCTGGGCTGGTTTACTCCAGCGGAGATCCCTCTGTGGGCTGGATCGTGCGCGCCCGCAATTTCCGGCGCCTGCGCAGACACGATTTCCGGCACCACAAAAGCGAGTCTCCGTGCCGCGCTGGTTTAGCAAGGATTTGCCAAGCAGGCAGCTCGGTTTGAGGGCAGCTTGGGGACCAGTTAAATGATCCCCATGGGCTGCTTGTGGCCCATGGGCCTTAGGTTGCCGACCCCTGATTTAGTCCGACCTAGTCCAAGTTGCAGGGGTCGAACCTGCAATCTTGGTGTTTCCAGCACCATGCTCTAACCAGCTGAGCTAGCCAGGCTCATAATACTGTCTGGATTACAAGTCCCATCATCCTTGACCATGCTGACTGGGGGTGATGGAAGTTGGAGTCCAACAACATCGGGAGGAGCACAGCTTCCTCGGCTCTCCTACAAAATGCAGTTGTAGGTCTCTGTGTTCTGAGTCACAGCCTCCATTATCACTACATCTGTAGGATTGGTGAGAGGCATTGCAAGTTTACTTAACACCACGCCACCCTTTCTAGCAAAATCTTTCATGATCCACCATTTTGGGTGGGGAGAGTTTTCCATGCCTGCAACAGAGAAGCTTGTGAGAGGAGACCTTCTCTGTCCACAAACCTCCCTTTCTGTAAGTAGATAAGGAAATCCACCACTCAATCCTGGGAATAAGACTGTGCCCCGAGTAATTCTGATCCACAAAATTTGAAAATGCATAACTGGAAGTATTTAAATGTTTCAGCTGTTCAAACTGCACTGCTGTTTTTGAGGAGCACTGATGACAGAAAGAAACACATTTTTAAACCTAAAACGATTTCACAACTGAGAATTACTTACAAGCTGTTCAGACTTCACACTAAAGAGCTGTATGGTCTTTGCCACATTTTTTGATACCGCCAAGGTGAGATTTGGATCTACAGCAGCCACATTCAGCTCACTAGAAACAAAAGGCAAAAAATGACTGTTTAATCACGATTCTTCAACTGTTTTCTTTCTATTTTAGACACCAAACAAGGGGGGAATAACATCTTCTACACACACTATGTTAGGATAATGAATTTAATTCATCTAATTCTGAATGAGGTTATGCACCATTCACATAGTGACTTTCTTTTGTACTTCTTTACTTGTTCACAAATAAACTGTGCTTTAAAACTTATTCATAAATGATCTAGAGTTAGGGGTGAGCAGTCAGGCAGCCAGATTTGCTGATGACACCAAAACGTTCAGGTTGGCTAAAACACAAAATGTGAAGAGTTCTGGAAGGATCTTTCCAAACTTGGTGAATGGGCAGTAAAATTTGATCACAGATTTGTTTCTCGTGTGCAGGAGAACTCGCCCTAAGGTATCTTTCATACAACACTCTCCACAGATCATAATGCAATACCACCAATGCATCTATGTTAGCATTCTATAGGTCGCAAGAGCAAATATGGATACCCTTCTTCATCAGGTCTAAATTCAATCTATGAAAGGAAATATTCTTTTCTTTTTTTAAAGAACAGCTTCACGCTTTCAAAACAGTTTGACCAGCACTTCACGTTCAAAATTGCAGCACAGCCACCCATGTGACCAAAGAGAGGTTATGATATAGAGACGCAGGGGTCAAATAATTCTTCTGTTCTGCTTTTTGGTCTTCCCATCCACATAGCTTTTTAAAATTTTATGCCATAAGTTCAAAGCTCTGTGCCACTCTAGATCAGCCTTTCCCAACCTAGTGCCCTATCCAGGTGTTATTGAACTACAATTCCCATTATCCTTGACCACTGGACATGCTGTCCGGGGC